TGTTCATGACTCCTGGTTCCCTGCCTTTTGAGAAGCTATGGGATAAGTTTTTCCATGTAAGTTTCTGTATTTGCATACTGTTACTTGGTTTCATTATCTTTTCTTAGATTTTCAAGCAATGTTTATTTTTCATCGAAAGTTGACTCGTTTTATGATGAAAAATATGCCTTGCATTAGTTTCTAATACCTGAACTGGGCATAAGTTAGCAAACAACATAATCAAAGCGATCGAGATTACAGACAACCTAGATAATGTGGGAAAATCTCACGTGTTTCGTTTACTGTTTGATAGCAAGTTGGGTTGAGTTGTTTGAAACTATAATGCTTCTAGTTTTTTCGGATGGTATATGTCGAGATCTCTTGTTCTCGAAGGCTCGTGAGGGTTTAGCCTATGATTTCCATTCGTTGTTGCTATAGCCTCTAGGTAATCATGGCAGAGCAATCTGTTGAAGTGAATATCTGAATCTCATATATCAATCTCTATTGTCTAATGATGCTAGTGAAGCCTATATTATCATGTTTTCAGCTGAAACTACTACAATCTTGTGTCAGGGCCATGAAGGGAAATTCTCTGTTTATGTCCATGCATCTAAGGAAAAGCCAGTGCACGTTAGCCGTTACTTCGCTGGTCGTGAAACTCATAGCAATGAGGTCTATATTTAACTTTCTCCTTGATTGGTATCCTTATTTGCACGAACTGTTCTTATAGTTACAGTTTTGTTTATCAAAGTAGTCGTTGTTGTTATAAATCACGAACCTCCACAATAATATGATATTGTCCACTTTGAGCATTAGCTCTCATGGCTTTGCTTTTGGTTTTCCCGAAAGGTCTCACACCAATGGAGATGTATTCCTTATAACCCCATGATCATTCCCTTAATTAGCCAATATGGGATTCCCTCCCAACAATCCTCCCCTCGAACAAAGTATACTATAGCCTCCCCTAAGGCCTATGGAGCCCTCGAACAACCTCTCCTTAATCGAGGCACGGCTCCTTTGGAGCCTTCGAATAAAGTACACCCTTTATTCGACACTTGAGTCACTTTTGACTATACCTTCGAGGCTCAAAACTTCTTTGTTCGACTGAGGATTCTATTGACATGACTAAGTCAAAGGCATGGCTCTGATACCATGTTATGAATCATGAACCTCCATATTGTCCACTTTGAACATTAGCTCTCATGACTTTGCTTTTGGTTTTCCCGAAGGGCCTCATACCGATAGAGATGTATTTCTTACAAATTCACAATCATTTCATAATTTGGGACTCTAACTATACTACGATCAATCACTGATCTAAACACCCTGTAACTGGTTTGGTGAACTTGCTGAATGTTCAGGTCATTTGGGGTAAAATCTCCATGGTTGATGCAGAGAGACGATTGTTAGCAAACGCTCTCCATGATCCCGATAATCAGCACTTTGTTTTACTTTCTGATAGGTGAATCAGTTCAACTTCTCGAACCCACGATTATTTTTTCAAGTTACAATACTGACTTGTTATTATCTGGAATTGCAGTTGTGTACCATTGCATAATTTTGATTATATCTACCAGTATTTGATTAATACAAATATCAGCTACGTAGATTGGTGAGTAATACCAACTCGGTTGTATTTTTTACACAAATATTGATTTAGAGATATGGATGACACATATAATTGTTCTTGTTTCAGCTTTAACGATCCTGGTCCGCACGGAAACGGGAGGTATTCGGAACGCATGTTACCCGAAATTGAGATGAAAGACTTCAGAAAGGGTGCTCAGGTATCCCAATAACATCATCACTTTCTGGATTATTTCTAGCTATTTAATGTTTCTGAGGCATAGTGCATATCCTTATAAGTCTGATCTTCTTCTTGTGGCTTCATAATTTCAATATTTGGAATTTTCTATACAGTGGTTCTCGATGAAGCGACAACACGCTTTGATTGTTGTGGCTGACAATCTTTACTATTCAAAATTTCGAGATTATTGCAAGGTAAATTGTACGTTTAGTTCAGTGATTACATAGCATTGTTGGGAGCTATGGATTCAGTCCTTTTTGGGTTTTCCCTTTCGAGGTTTCCTTCAAGATTTTTAAAACGTGTCTGCTAGGGAGAGGTCCACACCCTTATAAAAAAAAATGTTTTGTTCTATTCCCCAACCGACGTGGGATCTCACATTCAGACATTGTCATCTTTGGGCTTTCCCTCGAGGTTTTTAAAACGCGTCTGCTACGGAGAGGTTTCCACACCCTTGTAAAGAATGCTTTGTTCTCCTCCCCAACCGATGTGGGATCTCACGATCAAATAGGACAATATCTGCTAGCGGTGGGCTTGGGCTGTTACAATAAATATGCATGGAATTTGTATTTTTATGCCCGGAAATCTTTGATTAATAGAACTAGGATAGTGAGATGAGTGTATAGTAATGAGAATGTCTTGGCCATTTCAGCCAGGTCTGGAGGGGCACAATTGCATTGCAGATGAGCATTACTTGCCCACCTTTTTCCATGTAAGAATATACCTAAATATCATATCTCAGTCTTGTGTATTTTGCGCATATCGAGCTGAATATCGGGTTTTTCGTTGTCTAGATGACAGATCCTGGAGGGATTGCAAACTGGTCAATTACTCATGTTGATTGGTCTGAAAGAAAGTGGCATCCAAAGTCGTATGGGGCTCATGATGTTACCTACGAACTTCTACAAAATATCACGGTACGATTCCCAACGCCATCTAATCCGTGCACACATCGATGCCACCTAGACATTTTAGATATAATGTTGTTGGATGTTCTGTTTGCAGTCAATTGATGTCAGCGTGCACGTTACGAGCGACGAGAGGGTATGCTCATTCCATAAAAATCTCGATTCGTTACATGTTTTTATACGGTATAATATTGAAACGTTTTGTATTTGATGAGGTTATGCAGAAGGAAGTGCAAAGATGGCCATGCTTATGGAACGGTGTACACAGGCCATGTTACTTGTTTGCAAGGAAGTTCTATCCAGAGGCTCTAAATAACCTTCTGAATCTCTTCTCCAACTACTCATCAATTTCAGACTAAAAGTTTTGACCTGATATTCTTTGATCGTATCAGTCGTTGCTCGGAACACCGCACCCATCTCTGCTCTTACGACGAAAGCTTCAAAGTCTGAAAAACGCCACATCTTGAATGGTAAAACAGAGCAGCCATTGTTTGATGACAGTGAAGATAGGCAAACTGGGTGGAGTTTGGTTCCTTTAAGGTTAGTGAATTGATGTGATTTTGTTTCTTATTTAATCCATTTTGGGGGATTTTGTGGGTCACCGCTGTGTACAATATGACAGTATTATAGTAGAAAATAGGCATTATTATTATAGAAGTAGCAGCAACTTGAATCTCATCGTGTCGTTTACCAAACTTTCTTGCCTTATTACACACTTTTAGACCAATTTTGAAGGTTTTAGAAGGGTCGGTTAGTTACGCCGAACTCCTTTCGGGTTAGGCTTTTGAATAAGAGGACACGTTAAGGCTAACCGATATAGTCTTTTTTTAGTTTTTTATTTTTTCCTTCCTGACTCCCTCTCAAAGCTTTTAAAACATGTCGGTTAGTGAGAGGTTTCCACACTCTTATAATACTTCGTTCTCATCGGATATGAGACTCACAATCGATTGGAGAGAGGAATGAGTGTCAATGAGAACGTTGGGCTTCAAATGGGAGTAGTTGTGAGATCCCACATCGATTTGAGAGGGAAACGAGTATCACCGAGGATGTTGGGTCTCGAATGGGGTGAATTGAGAGGTATAAGGGTGTGGAAATCTCTCCCTCTACGAAACATTCTTTATAAGGGCGTAGAAACTTATAGGAACTAAATATTATATGGTCAGGAGAACTAGATGGTAACGTTTAATAATTTAAAAAATAAAACTATATGTTAAAAAAAATTATTTTGAGAACAATAATTGTTGATTACGTTAATTCAATAATTTATTTTTTCCATAGATAAAATAAATTTAGAATAAAGACTTACGGTCATTTGCAAACTTGACTTATTATTTATACATTAATATCTCATCAAATCAACGTCCCTTCTAAGTCGTATTTAAAATAGTAAGCTTCTTTTTTATTATTATTATTATTATTATTTCTAACATAATGACGATTAACTATTAAATAATAATATATTGCTTTATCATTACATGTATATTCAATTTTCTTAATATTATTCTATTAAATTCATATTTTCTAATTTTATTTAGAAAATTTTAAGATTCGGATCAAGATTCAAATCTAGATGGCTTCGACTCTTTTTGCTCATAAGAGCGAAAACTATTCCCACCGACTAACACGAGTTCTTTCAACATGATTATATTTTCACTCACATGCATTCTAGAGAGCCGATTTTAATTCTGTTAAGCCTTTCTAGGCCTTCTATTCTTAGGATTACTCTCATTCAAATATGATCTCAGCTAATTGATGTACCCGTCTCTTACCCGTGTCACAAAATGTGAAAACTATACTCATAAACTAACACGAATTCTTCCAGCATACTTTGTCCTCACTTGCATGCCTCCAAGAAAATTTTTCAGAAGGTCAACCAACATAGAAAGTTTCTATGGTTGAGCCACCGAAAAGAAATTGTGTTGTGTTATAGAATATCATGTTGACACATAATACTATATGAAATTGTGCTACGTTATAGAAAGTGTTATACCATGTTATACACTAGTATCACAGATACATGTCATGATCTTAAACTATAGATACCTCATGCATATTATATGTTCACGTGCATCGAGATACTTCCCGACTATGAATATATGAGCGTTTCTTTTCTTTTAGTTTATTTTTTTTAATACGTTGCCCCGCGGGAACGCCATTCCAAGCAAAACCATTGACTCTTCCAAATTTTCCCACAAAAGTTCCTAAATTTAATTATATGTCTCAATCTATGTCTCCCAAAGTCCACTTCTTTCAGCTTCTTCCATTACTTATACTCTTCTTCCTTATCCTCTCCAAAACAAAAGGAAAGGGAACAAATATGGGTGTCTGTATCTCCCGCCGATCATCCTCCGCCGTCGCTGCCGCCGATACAATCCAACTCGTCCACTTGAATGGTCACGTCCAACACTTCCACAGCCCCATAACAGCCAGCCAAGTCACTGGAAATTCTCCCCCGCCGGCGGAGTACTTCATCAGCACGGCAGCGCAGCTGGTCTCCCTCGCCGTCAGCCCAGCGCTTAACCCTGACGCCATACTTCAGCCGGGCAAGGTCTATTTTTTGCTCCCGTTCTCTACTCTTCATCCCGACGTTTCTCCCTCCGACTTGTCCTCCATAGCCAGAAAGCTCACCGCTGCCGCTAAGTCCGCCCCTCGGCCGCCGCCGTGTGTTGCGGTCGGTGGTGGCAATGATTGGAAAGCTCCGGTGGCTGCGAAATCTCGACAGTGGAAGCCATTCTTGGACACGATACAAGAGAAGGCGGTGAATAAGAGCGAGTCGGATTTGCAAGATAAACATAATAATAATCGTATTTGTATATGGGACTAAGAATTTTGAAAAAACGTATATACTAGAGAGAGATTTCTAATACTTTTATAAAAAATTATTTGTTCTCCAACAAATGTATGATTGCACAATTCATCTTCATTTGGAGCCATCGTCCTTACTCCTTTCTCCAACCGATGTGGGATCTCACATTAACTATCTACAGTAAAGTTACTAAAGCATTGTCAACTAGCCTCTAGTAGCTACACGTTTATTATAACTAGTTCACATGTTTATTTTAGTTGGTTCAAGCACGTGGTCTTTGCCCTCATGTTTATGTTGTTATCAAATTATTATGATGGAACGTAGATTAGTTAATCCTATTAATATAACGTTTATGTTCCAAGATAAGTAATGAATGGGCCGCGTTCATGGCTTAATGACTATTAATAATTGAAAATATGATTTTAAAACTACTATTTATTTTGTTTGAAAAGCCTTAAAATTATTAATGTCTAAGAAAGCGATGGCATGCTTGATTTCTCTAGATACATTTTGACAATTATATCTCAAAAGTTTCCATAAGCACGTGCCTTGAAAGCTTCTCCTCTTCCTAAAATAATTAATATTGGGTATCATTTGTCAAAATTTAAGGGATAAATAATTTATTTATAAAATTATTTTCGTTACGTCGTCTTTTTATTATTAATTAAAGAAAAAACATAACGATGATGTATATTTGTGAATTAAGATCGGTTTTAAAATTTGATCTTTTAGTTAATTCACGAGAACCCGAAAATCCGAATATGATCTTATTGGATGATATATATTTGTACTATTGATTAGAACTAATAAATGCTTTTAATGAGATAACTAACAAGTTATTGACTTATTTATCACTTAATTAAGGCTTACTCCAATTCCATCCCTATTCTAAGATTAAAGGTACCCAAATGTTCTTCCTCTATCATGAGTTAAGGAGTATCAAAAATCAAACATATTGAATTATTTGAGGTTACAATTAAGACGAGTCGTAGAAGTCTCAAAAATATTTGAAATCTTCATATGTCTAGAAGTGTAGATGTTTGAAAATATAGATATCAAACATATTTCGATAACCATGTTTGTTGTGTTGAGATTTTTGTAAGGAGGTCCACGAGTATTTAGATGCCCGTGTTTGTTTTATAGTATTATTTTTGTGTGTACGTCTTGTAATAATGTATTATTTCAACAATATCTTTCCATATTTAAATTATTTATATTTATATAATATTTAGTGTAACTGATTTTTCTATTAAAAATCTATTATAGACATAGTGTGCATTAACTTTATCTAAAAATAAGGGTAGCATATGGCTTAAGTATTTTAAAAAATAAAAAAAATAAAAAATCCTTTTAAAAACATCATAGCCTAATCGTGGGCTCCACTTTCAAGTCGAAGTACGGTTGGGTTGGATGTGTGGTGTTTCCTTACACATGGTCTATGCATACGCACATGGACCCACCATGAGGATTCGTATACTGTAACGACCCAGATCTACTAGCAGATATTGTGTCGTCGTAGTGCCGGCCTTCCTTAGTTGGAGTCGGCGACCCAGATCTACTAGCAGATATTGTCTTCTTTGGGCCTGAAAACGCATCTGTTAGGGGAAGGTTTCCACACCCTTATAGATGGTGATACACCGTGTCGTCGTAGTGCCGGCCTTCCTTAGTTGGAGTCGGCTCGGCCTTCCTTAGTTGGAGTCGGCTCCCACGATTAGTCGCTTCTTGTCATGGCTGTGCGTGTACATGCCATGCTCAGAGGTGCAACGTTTCAATTTCAGTGACAGTAAGGTACTTTCGAGCTTCGCGTTCCAGGCTCGTGGAGCTTGTCGAAGCCTACCGTAAGTTCGCAATTCCTGCTTAGGTGTCCTCTCTCTTCCATACAAACAAGTGGAGTCGTTGTCTCCCTGATCACTCTATCTCAACGATAACTTTGACACCAATCATCACGGCGTCAGCCTCTTCGTGGCGGTGATGGAGATGTCGGCACACGGCGTCAGCCTCTTCGTGGCGGAGTGAGTGAGCCTGCCCGAGATGGGCCCCACGATGTGTGTGTTTTTACACTTTACATTTTCTTCTACTCGAACCTAAGACCTGAGACCTGTGTGATGTTAGGTCAAAACTCTAACCACTTGAGCTATTCAACTTGTTTGTTGATAGGTAGGCTCCTCTTCAATGATATACACCGATCTTCAACCTGGCTTTGATACCACTTGATGGATTGTTCGGCGAGAGAAAATTGGTTGGAAGAATTAACTAAATTCTGACGTTCAAAATCAGGTTATTGTTTATTCGCAACAAATCTCTCGACGTGATTTGTCAAATGGTCAAACGGAGATTTTCTGAAATCGTGTGAATAAGGAAAAACTATAAAAAACTCAAGGTTTTATCTAAAAAAGGTTTCCACACTCTTATAAATGATGATTCGTTCTCCTTCCCAACCAATGTGGGACATCACAATCCATGCTAGGGGAAGGTTTCCACACCTTTATAAATGATGATTCGTTCTCCTCCCCAACCAATGTGGGACAGCCCCCAAATCCACCCCCCTTCGGGGCCGAGCGTCCTCGCTGGTACTCTTTTCTTCCTACAATCGATGTGGGACAGCTCCCAAATCCACCTCTCTTTGGGGCCCAGCGTCCGATGTCTGGCTCTGATACCATTTGTAATGACCCAAATCCACCGCTAACAGATATTATCCTCTTTGGGCTTTCCCTTTCGAGCTTCCCCTCAAGGCTTTAAAACGCGTCTGTTAGGGGAAGGTTTCCACACCCTTACAAAGGGTGATTTGTTCTCCTCCCCAACCAATGTGGGACATCACAATAATTACAGAAGATTTGTCTAGGATTTCTCCAAAATTTTCTCAGTGCTAACTCAGTTAACCAAGAAGGGCAAGCCTTTTGTGGACTCCAGCTTGCGAACAGAGTTTCCAGGAACTCAAGAAGAGGTTGGTAACCGCACCAGCCCTTACAGTTCCAGACGGGTCAGGTAATCTTATGGTGTATAGTGATGCATCAGGGAAAGGTTTGGGGTGTGTGCTCATGCAAAAGGGTAAGGTGATAGCGTATGCTTCTCGACAATTGAAGGAATATGAACGAAATTACCCAACGCATGACCTCGAGTTAGCAACGGTAGTGTTTGCTCTAAAAGCGTGGCGGCATTACCTGTATGGGGAAAAAGTACAAGTCTTTACCGATCATAAGAGCCTCAAGTACTTGTTCACGCAGAAGGAGCTCAATATGAGACAAAGGCGATGGTTGGAACTGGTAAAGGATTATGACAGAGATCCTGTACCATCCAGGCAAAGTCAATGTTGTAGCGGATGCATTGAGTAGGAAGGTTGTGCATACTTTTGCGATGATCACCACACAGGAAAGACTACAAGATGAGATGAAGAGGGCTGGGATAGACGTGGTGGTTAAAGGTGGTACTGTGCAGATAGCACAATTAACCCTACAGCTCACCCTACAAAAGAAAATTATCGACGCTCAGAGGTTTGATGAACACCTCAGTAAAGTGTGGAGTCAGACTGAGACAGAGAGGCCAACAAGGTATTCTATCTCCTTAGACGGGGGTCTACTATGGAAAAATCCCCTGTGCGTTCCCCGAGATGAGGGAATCTTAAAAGATATTATGACCGAAGCCCATGATACATCTTATATGTTCCACCCTGGAAGTACGAAGATGTATCAGGATCTGAAAAGATATTATTGGTGGTCTAGAATGAAGAGGGACATAGTGGATTTCGTAAGCCGTTGCTTGACCTGCCAGCAGGTGAAGGCCCCGAGGCAGCGCCCAGTAGGATTGCTACATCCCCTGAATGTTCCTCAGTGGAAATGGGAAGTAGTCTGTATGGATTTCGTCTTGGGTTTGCCAAAGACAAAGCAAGGTTTCAACGTCATCTGGGTTGTTATGGACAGACTGACCAAGACGACCCACTTCATTCTAGGAAAGTCTACATATCGAGTGGATTGGTGGGCTCAATTATATATCAAGGAGATAGTACGCCTGCACGGGATACCAGTGTCCATAGTATCAGATCGGGACACCAGGTTCACCTCTCAGTTTTGGAAAAGTCTCTAGAAAGCACTAGGAACAAAGTTGAGGTTCAGTACAACGTTCCATCCTCAAACGGATGGACAGACTGAAAGGCTGAACCAGATTTTAGAGGATATGTTGCGAGCCTGTTCCTTAGATTTCTGTGGGTGCTGGGACGAACATCTGCCTTTAATGGAGTTTGCCTACAATAATAGTTATCAAGCGACCATTCAAATGGCCCCCTTTGAGCCACTGTATGGGCGTAGGTGTCGAACACTAGTCTTTTGGGAAGAGGTAGGCACGTAGTAACTACTGGGACTAGAGTTGGTCCAGGTCACCAACGCAACAGTGTAGAAAATCAAGCAGAGGATACTCACCGCACAGAGTCGATAGAAAAGCTATGCAGATGTGCGTAGAAGGGACCTCGAATTTGAGGTGGGTGACCACGTGTTCCTAAAGGTAGCCCCTATGAGGGAGGTGTTGAGGTTCGGAAAGAAGGGAAAATTGAGCCCAAGGTTCATAGGCCCCTTCGAGATTCTGGAAAGAGTTAGGGCTGTGGCTTACAAAATTGTCCTGCCACCGAACCTTGCCGCCATGCACAATGTGTTACACGTATCCATGCTACAAAAGTACACTCCAAACCCTACTCACGTTATCGAGCATGAGATGCTTCCCCTTCGGAAAGATTTGTCTTACGAGGAGAAGCCTAGCAGAATTTTGGCTCAAGGCACTAGGCAGTTGCGCAACAAAGATATTCCCTTGGTAAAGGTCTCATGGGGTAACCGCCGTAAGGAAGAGGCAACCTGAGAACGAGGACGTGAGGAAAGCTTATCTCGAACTCTTCCAAGAGATAGCTACTTTCGGGGACGAAAGTTCCTAAGGAGGGGAGAGTTAAAGGGGGGAGGGGGGAGGGGGCTAAGTCAACTAAGGGGCAAAAATGTCATTTTGCCCCTCCAGCCCTAATAGGGGTCCAAGGAGAACCTCGTCACATCCGCTGCAAAAGAAAACGAGAGTTAGAGAGAAATTTGAGAGGAGTCAGTCGTGAAGTTTAATGGACCACCGTTGGAATCCACCTTCAGACGAGACTGGTACAAGGATTGAGAGGTTAGCGAGGTCCGTGCTCCATCAAGACCCAAGAACATTTCGCGAGGTAAGGTTCTAAACGACATTTCTCAAATCTGAGTTTTTCCTATGTGAATTGAGTCTTAAAATGCTGAAATATTCACCTAGGAACAACTCTAGGTCCGATATTCAAGCAAAAATTACAAAAAAAATACTAGGACGTAGCCCATAACACGATCTAGAACTTCTCCGAAGAAATTATATCGATCCGATCTACGGATCGAAAGATATAAAATCGGAAAAGGGGACTGTGTTACGGATTTCAGAGGATAGAGAAGAAAAAGAAAAAGAAAAAAAAAGTCGGGCGGCGTGACAGGCGCCGAACACTCGTCGACCGTCGGCTGGAGTAACGCAGCTCCAGCCGAGGCGACGACACGTGTCGTCTGCAAAAGAAACGCTAGCAAAAGGGCACGCGTCAACCAGGTAAGTCACCACTCGGTATTTAGGAAGAAATACTTGTAAGATTCGCTTGGATTGCATGCATGCTAGTAATTTTGTTTCAGATTAGCTCTCGATGTAAAATATTAGCCAGATTGATTGCTATGAGTGTATTGGGTGAATTATTTGAGTGTTGCATGTATGCTTTAAGCTTCCACCGTATGTATGCATGCGTTTAATTTATGTTGGAATTGTGTATGTCGTGTTCCGGGTGCTTGATGGACGAATTCGCCCCACATTGAGCGCGAACTTCGTGCTCTGGGTTCTTGATGGAGGTCATCGCCCCGTTGAGCCGGAATGACTAGTTTGCATGAATTATATATTATGATGTTAGAAGATGGTTGCATGCACACTCTGTTAATTTCTATGGCCCATTTCTATGATAAGCTTAGGGGATTACTGTTAGGAGCGATATGTTGCTCTAGCCAGACTTAATTTTCCCCTAGGAACTTAGCGGTTTACCACGGCAACAAGGTACCTCAGGAGTGTTCATAGATTGCTAGCTTGAGAACGGTATCTATAGCTTCGTGGGAGGACCAAGGGTCCCTGATAAGTCCTTACTGCTCTTAGCCATTTCGCATGGGAAATGTGTCCCCACGTTATACAGGCCATTAGCTGCATGGGAACGGGTTGGGCCGCGCCCTCCATAGGGAGACTATATGGGCGTAGGGGTATTCAGCACACCCCTAGGCTAGATACCATGTAGTCCTAGATAGCCATGTAAAGGTAGAACCTCATAGAGAGATACTGACCATATTATCTTGTCGTAAGGAACCTCTAGGCGTTTAATGAAAGGACGATGAACCGGTGAAACCCAAGGGGCAAGCTCCAAGGGATTAAGATTAGAACCAGATGTCCTAGAACCGAATTAGGAAACTGTGGGAACGTGTTAAATTAAGATGCGAAGAGAGTCTACAAGTAAGCGGCTTACTGAGTATAATTTTTTATACTCATCCTTGCTATTTTCCTTTTTTTAGGAGCGCGAGGCGTCGGTCAAGAGCGGGTGTGATGGAGACGGGGATTGTCACAGAGGAACGGGTTGTCCCGGGGCGTCAGTCCAGTCTTTATTTTGTGTTTGCATATTTTCGAAATTTATTTACAAACTATCATGTGTTTTGTTGTTTGTCGTCCAAAAACTTTATTGGAATTTAAGGATTTTCTTTATTTCATATTTAAATCACTTTGTGCATTTGTGTCTTGTCATTAGTCACGGTCCGTAGTAAAATATTGGGTCGTGACATATACGTACCCCCTAGGCCTGACTCGTTGGGCTAACGCACTCTGACGCCACCAAACACTACGGAGGGAAAGGACCTGCATGATATCATGACGAACATAAATATCATAAAGTACGTGTTTGTACTAATTATAACGAGAGAGTATCTCAATGCACATGACATATATATAAAGCCCTCAAATCCCCATAACTTTAAATCATGACATGTTTTAAGATACAAATCGTACTTCTTTTCATTTATGACATAACGAATGAATTATGCATACACTATTCTTATCACATCTTTTAAGTGTTATGCATCTTACATCATTGATAACATAACATAATCATATCATAGCATAGTTGTCTAAGGGAGTAAGGAGGAGATCAATCAATATTTTATCTTTTGCCAAAATTTAAAAGACTACCTGTAATATCCGAATTTTTAGATAAATAAATAAAAAATTAAAAATAACAACATAGGGCTTGGGAGAGAGAAAAAAGAGAGAGAGAAAGGAGAAAGGAGAAGAAGTTAGGGTTTGGGAGAGAGGAAGAGCGGATCACAAACCTCCGTTGGAGATCGAAATAGAAGGCAAGAAACTTCGAAGCAATACTTCTCTCGGTGCAGGAAAAGGAGTTTGGGTGGTGGATCCACTCATTCCGACAAGAAAATCCGAGAACGAACAAAGTAAGATTACGAACTTATTGTTTCAATTTTATCTATAGATCTGAGGAGTTTCTTGAGTGTTAGACCTGGAGTTTTTTGAGGTATGTGACTAAAATAAGATTCACACAGGTTTCTTGAAGTTCTTGGACGAGAATCGGACGAAAATCGGAGTTTAGTCGGACTTCGGGTAAACCGGTCGAAAACAGAAAATGTGTTTTTCTGTATCTTTGACGGCCTTAACTCATCCAGTATTCAAGGAAAAAATAAAGGAAAAAATATATTTTAGAAGTAGAATATGAGATCTACAATTTTCATGAAGAAACTTTGTTGATATGGATTACGGATTGAAAGATAAGAAAATCGGAAGAAAATAGATCGAAAACGTTAATCTAGAAATTGAAATACCTGCAGGAGAGAGAAAACGTTGGCCGGCGTACGGAGGAAAGAGGCGGACCCGCGATCGACACGTGGCGAACTGCGACTGGAGAGGCGTGTCCCACAAGCTAGTCGACACGCGTCAGGGTGCGGATTCGGGTCAACCCGAGTCCGATCCAGCGCTCTACACGCAACCCAAGAACCACGCGAACCGAATCGAACCGAATTGGTCGGTGGCCCGCGACTGGGCGGGAAGCTGCGTGTCATCGCTCGTGTAGGCGGGTGAGTGACTGTTTTCCCTCCATTCGACCTCTGTTTGCTTGTTTTTCGCCCGGATTTCAACTCTGATCCTATTTTTATGTGAATTATGACCTATCAAGAAAATTCCAGAATTTTTGGAACCTTTTCCGACAAATAATTCGAGCTTGGGAAGGCACGCATCAACCATGTAAGTAGCCATTTGGATTCCCACGAGCAGTACTTGTAGGAACCGCTAGGAACAAGCATGCATGCTACCACCCATTAACTTAGCTAGCCAGACCTAGTATATTAGTATGGAAACTGCGAAAATTAAATGATTAAGGAAAGCTTGATATGAAATGTTTATTAAATTTGTTTGATTGAGATTCTGATGAAGTATGTATGCATGAAGAGGATGGAAAACTTGTGAAATCTGCACTCCGGGTAAAGATGGACATTATCTTCCCGTTGAGCATGTTTGTTAATATTGCATGAACTGCTGCGTGTTAACTCTTCTACGTGATGATTGCTTGTGTTGTCTTTCTTGATGAATAGGAAGAAATTACGAGCTTAGATTAGGGTGCTTGTGATTAAGTAGGCTAGATGAGACCCTAGATTGGGGGACCTCTAGAATACCGTGCAATTAGACCCGCGAAATGATTACCGGCGATCCAGAGCCCAGAATTCCAAACCCGATAGGTTTATGAGATCAGGCACGAGAGTCCTAGAGATACATGAATCCAAGTCTAAGCCACCAAGTTCCACCCTAGAAAGAATAATAGGTCACCACGGTAACTGTAGGTAGCCCGCTAGAGTTGAGCAGTGTAGATAGTGTCATCACAACCTCCAGTTCCCTCTCTCCTCCGATATCATACTATCGAGACAGAGCTCTGGTACGGTGATCGTTGAGCTTTGTAGATTCGAATAAGGAAGTGTGACAGGTGCCCAGCCCTAGTGGTGATAGCTAAAGGGTCTTCTGAACATAACTCCTGGGCCATAAAAACCCTTCCTTGAGCGGGGGACGTGGAGCCACATAGGATAACTCAGTAGCTGACCGGCACACAGGGGGTCGCACCCCGTTTAGTGGATGTATGGTCCCGTGTAAGGGTCTTCAGCTAACCTCCACGGATGATGTTTAGAGAGAGTTGCGTATTCAAATCCAGCCATACAATCCCCTCAGATTTACTTATGAGGTCGCGCCTCACCTCAGGACACTGATCATATCACTGCTTAAGATGGGCAAGCCTCCTAAGATACAGAAACGAGAGTTTCAGCTTAGATCACTCTGCTTAGAAACCCGAGAGAGACCGTGGATACCTACCAAGATAAGGATGCGAAAACAGCCTACAAGTAGGTTGAGTTGTTTACTGAGTGTATTTTTATACTCACCCCTTTCTCCCCTTTTTTTTTCAGGTACCGGTCGAGGTGGGAGGGGGGGTGTTCGAGAGCTGCACTGTCACAGAGGGGTGTCGTTCCGGAGAGTCAGTCCCTTGTCGGTCTTTTAGAGTCCTTTGTCCGTTTTCATATTTAGAATTTTTTGTATTTCATTTTATATTTGCAATTCTTATTTGGTAACATTTGACTTTGATTTTATATTTAATTTTAGTGTCCTTAATTTCCTTTTCTTGTTTAAAATTTTGCGAGATTTTTACCTTCCATTTTATTTTTATTTGTTTTCGATTTCGTTTTTTTAGTCACGATTTGGTCTTTCGAAGCCTCGAAAGTCGGGTTGTGACACTACCACAAAACTTCGTTCTAATTCAAATAGAAAGTTAAAAATTAGGACATACCGTGATGACCTCAAGCACCTCGACCTAACCACAGAAGAAGAGTTAGAGCAAACCATCCTTTCCTCGAATGAGTGAAAGGCCACCAACTTTCTTTCCTTTAACATAAAATAGACGTCTTTGCATTGTTCCATGAGGATATGCTCGTGACCGACCCGAGCATAGTCTCCAACACCTCAACATCGACCCAATCTTCAAGTCGTCCACTTGGTTAGTGAGATTTTGCACATCAAAACCCACGTTTAAGTTAACATTTTTCTTGTTCCAATCTCACATATGCATTCATATATTTGATGCATCTCCAAACCCTAATTAACAAAGCTCAGTTCTTTCTAAGATTTGAAGAGATATGCATGTACAAGTCTATGATAGCTAGCTTCATTATTTAAAGAGAAACCTTACAAGGGTTCTTCACATTTTACAATTGGGATTTACTACACTTACCCATCATTCCTTAAGCTTTATTCTTTCCACCATGAAAGCTATATATATATATATATGAAGTTTGGACGACCAAAGGTATCAAATTGGGACAACAATGGGGGCAGGTGGGACAGTGGGTTGAATAGGATAGCAATCCCAACCATTTTCTTTGGAGTAAGAGAGCTTGAAATGCTTAGGAACCCAACTCTCCTTTCTTGACTCTCTCTCTTTTGCAAGCTCCCTTTGCCTTTCTTCCACTGCCATCTTTGCTTTCTTTGCTTTCTTCCAATCTTTGCTCAATATCCCTTGGCTCACTTCCCCCCACACCTTCGCTGATTCTGTTGCCCTAACACCCTAATACATATTCACGATATCATAACTTCAAGCATCGTCGATATAATATTTATATGAGAATTGATATCTTATCTACTCAGCTATGTTTAAATTGGCTGATGAAATAAATTTGCTTACCTTAGGGTCGAGAACAACAGGAGTTCTTAAGTTGGAAATCACTTCACTTGCATTGTATATAGTTCTAACGTTCCCATTTTGGTACTTCAGTCTAACGGATCTGAGACAACAAAAAAGTTAGCTCAAACAAACGAGTAATAAAACATTATTCGATTATCAAATCAACCGATTTTGGATTGAAGATTTTACCTGTCCCATTGGCCATCAATGTCGCATAAGTTCTTGATGGACAAAGATTGAGAAAAAATCTTGCCATTGATGGATCGGCTGTTTGATTTGCGACCTAAAAAGCTAAGGCCTTTGTAAGAGATTTCAGCTGCGAGGCCACTTTCTTGGCATTGGATCTTCACTTTGCCACTCCATTCAAACGCCTTTGTTGGAATGAACTTGAACACCAAACTTGGACAGTTCATTACATAAGTTTCCCCATGATTTAGAAGCTTTACCTGCCTCTTCCCACATATCTCGGTTTCCACGCTTGTACCTATTTCAAAACGAGAGAAAATAGTAACATCGTTAGGATAATCTTTTCTTTGTTCGAGACAAAATAATAAGCAATGGGCGACATTAAATACGTACCACGAAATTTAGGAGAGAGATTATGACACCATATCATTTCTATGTTATGTTTTTCATCGGTGGCATGAAGGGCAGATACGGGTGGGTAATGCGAAACCTATGTTTCAAACCCAAATTGTTCACCATGCATAGAGACTAAATAGATACAAAACTAAGATAAAAAAAGGACACGAGTAAGAAGGGTACCTGTTCGAGTAGGACATTAAGGGTACCCTTGGAAACATGATGGGTCTCCCCAAGAATAGGGTTGTAAGGGAAAGCACCAAAGATGAGAGGGCGAGTAGTGGAAATGCTCCATCCCACAACAGCTACTAGTCTTTCCATAGCACTTCCCCCACGATTGCACTTCTCCAGCATATCCTCACCCCAACAATACACCGATTCCCCAAAACATTGGAGTTGGGATTTTGGAATGTTGAAGTTTGGTGGAGCCTAACAAAAAAATATATATATCAATATTTAAAATCTTTTTTATGTTCTATTTTGGGCTTTCTCTTATTGTCCATTTTGAGCTAGAATTTGAGCGGAAAGTTTATGGAGCTCCTCAACAGCTTCCCCTTAATCGAGGCTCGACTCCTTTCTTTGGAGCCCTCGAACAAAGTATACCTTTTGTTCGATATTTGAGGATTCTATTATCATGGCTTTAATACCATGTTAGGAATCACAACTCTTCACCATGTTGAGGCTTCCCCAAGAGGCCTCCTCATACCAACCAATGGAGATGTATTCTTTTACTTATAAACCCAGGAATTCCTTAAATTAGTTGGGACTCACTCCCAACCATCCTCAACAAAGAAAACGTGTTTGCTAGAGTGAGGTTTTCACACATTTATAAACAATGGTTCATTCTCTCTCGACGTGAGATCTCACAAACCACCATTTAGAGGTTCACCATTTTCACTAGCCTGCACTATACATAGATGCGTTCTAAAATCTTGAATGCAAGTTTAGAAGGAAAAACCCAAAAAAAAAGGATATTATCAGTTAACTGTAGGCTTAGAGTTGGACGGTTGGCTGGAATACATCAAATATTAAAATGAAAAATAACCTTGTATTTGAGTGAAATGAGATCCAATCCTGGGCGTAGATCTTTGATGATGGTCATAGCATGATGTAGAATATTTGAAACTCTGTCCGCATCTGATTCCTCCTCTAAAGACATTGGCTTCGCAATTACAATTGGGTTGCGTCTGGTTCCAATGCTCCCTTCCGGATCCTATAATTCCTCAACCCCTTAGAATATTACCTTATTCTATAATAAACTTTTTAAATACTAACAACTTAACATTTACAATAAATAATTTTTTAAAAAATCACATTTTAAATTGTTATAAAATTTAAAATTATTAAATTATTACTTTTATGAACTTTAATTTAGTTGTTTTTGACCTTTTTTTTTAATTATATATTTCATTGACGAAATATTCCTAGCATAGTAATTAAAAAAATTTATTCTAAATTTAAAGGTGAACTAGAGTTTCTTAAAAAGAAGAAGAGTAAAAATGTTTATTGTCATGCTTTCTTTCTTGTAACGCTCGTTAAGAGAGGAAGATAATCGGATGATAAACAATAAAAATTTCAAAAAAATTGTTGAGTAAGTGAAGAAGAACTCGGAGCTTCTTCCATTTAATCAACTAGAAAGATAGTAAAAGAGAAAGAAAGGTATGAACAAACACGAAAAATGATGAAGTAAGGATAAAAATGGATTGAAGTACGAAAGAAGAGAGAGCGAGATCACCATTTTTTGAGAAGAAAGTTGCAATGAATGAGTGAAAGAAATGGATGAATGAATGGATGAATTTATAGGGCAAAGGTTAAGAGTTGATAAGAGAGAGTTAAATGGTCAAAATGCATTGAAGACTTGGAGTAAGGACAATTTGGAGACATTAAGATATGAATGCTATCTATGATCTAAACAAACCCTTCTTTGTCTTTTCATCCCATTCTTCTTCTCTCTCTTATTTCATCTCTCTCACCTAACACCCACCCTATTAAATATATACATATATATATATATATCTATCGAGACAGATTTATACCATAATTTTCTAGGTATGTTTATGTGCACCGCTCATTAAATAAAACATCCATTGTTATCTTAAATGTCAATTGTTTGATCTAGAGAGATCCATGAAGCTCCAACCTGAAAAGGTGGGGAATTCTTGTTTAAACATAGAACCGGAGATAAAATGAAGAGAGATTTCTCCCCGTTAGTTAAATAGTGTCTGGGACAAAGATTTTAGTCCTTGTACTCAACCCCGTCCAAGTTTTCATCTCGCCTCACTTTTCTAAATGTATATATTCTCAAGTGTGAAAAATTTGTATTTCTTATGAAATATTATTGGATTTATTAGTGCGTTAAAGTACATTTTTTATTAGAAATTATTTATTAAAAATATTTCAAATGAATTAATTTTTAAATTAATATATTAAAAATGAAAAAAAAAATCATTGCACAATGAACCGGGGGCAAATTCTCTATAAAGAATCTTTGCTCTAATTTCCACGAAAATACATGGAAAATTTCGTTGGGATTTCAATAGGAGATGGAAACAAGGACTGA